TGTTGCTTCTGAGCTAGATGGCCGCTTGTTTGCCTTCAAGCCTTTAAGACCTCAGATGCTATATCTTTTGATAGCCGAGCACCATCAGCTTTCTTCACCACATTTGCTTATTCTATAGAGAAGATTTTTATGATCAACATGTATCTACATTAAGTAAAATAACTTCGGTTACAGGGACACATTTATTAAGTCTTAAACAAGACAACACCAAGACAAAGACAGATCATCCAGATGAGGGAGACCATCAAATGAGGTCAAAATGCTGTCCAAGGATTCACAGAAATGCAGTCACTTAAACAAGACTATGAAGAGCAAAGGAAACCGTCACAAAATCATGGCCATGGTTATTAGGGGCCCTTGAGTTGGTTCCGACTTACAGCTATCCTCTGTACAACAGAATGAAACCCTGTCCGATCCTGTGCATCCTCACAATTGTTCCTGTGCTTGAGCCCATTGTTGCAAACACTGTGTCAATCCATCTTTGGGAGGGCCTTCCTCTTTTTTCGCTGCCCCTCCACTTTACCCAGCATGATTTCCTTCTCCAGGGACTTATCTTTCTTGATTACATGTCCAAAGTACTTGAGATGAAGTCTTGCTATCCTGGCCTCGCCCCCTCCTGTCGCCCTGGTGCGACAGTGGGTTACAAGTTGGGTTATTAACTGCAAGGCCAGCAGTTCACATCCACTAGCTGCCTCCTGGAAGAAAGATGAGGCTTTCTATAAAGATTCAGTCTTGGAAAACCACAGGGGTGGTTCTACTCTGTCCTATAGGGTCACCGTGAATCAGAATTAACTCAATGAGTGAGAAAAATCATGATTAGAGGCAGATTAATTCATCACAGTTGCAGGCTGGTCAACAGAAACAGAAAAGTGATCTTGGGATATGTACATTATTGCCGATTAGAAAAGTTTACAAAATTGGTTCAGGGTTCTCCAACCAAGATGGTCACGGTATGACTCAAGATTGTGTGGACCCTAGTACCTGCCCCTTCTTGCACTGGGTAAAGGACTGGGAATAATCCATTTTCAAACATATTCTTCCTGAGGGCAAAGCTGGTTAATGGTCAGAAAAAATTCAATGGGGCTGAATCTATGTAGAGACACACAAAAAATGGATCTAGGGCTCTTACTGTGAACTGTAGCCTTCCACAAATCTTACGCTCCGAATTCAAGCTCCAATACAGACAGGGCAGAGTATTGGGTACTAGGTTATATGTATAATATAGAAAACAAAAACCAAACTCACTGCCCTAGAGTCAGGGCCCACTCATAGCGACCCTATAGGACAGGGTCAAGCTGCTCCTGTGAGTTTCTGAGCCTGTAAATGTTTATGGGAGTAGAAAGCCTGAATTTTCTCCTGAGGACCAGCTGGTGGCTTTGAATTGCAGACCTCATGGATCACAGCCCAATGCATATTCACTAGGCCACCAGAGTTCCTATGTGCATATAATAGACAAAGAAATAGGAAGGGCCAACAGAACAGGGGTCTAGGGGGAGGGGACAGGTCCTAAACTAAAGTGAAAAGAGAGAGATAATTAGCCAAGGGAAGGACCATTTTATTCTTTTGGGCAGGACATTATACAATTAATAATTCATGTTTGAGAAAGCCTTTGGCTCTCTGAATGCTGCTTCATGAATAACAGTTGTGTCATGGGTTGAGTTCTGAGCACAGGTTTCTGTAGGGCTGTAGTTTACCGTGGGCGCTAGCTTGAGTTGCCCCTCAGTTTCAGTTTCTGTTGTTGAATTCTTTCTGACCATAGGGCTGGCAACATAAAGTACTTTGTAGCCTTTGTAAAATCATTATCAGATCCCAAAGCAATTATGATGCGCTAATACATTAGTTGTAGCTGGAAGGACAGACGACAATAAATACCTCTAAAAAGGGAAGATTGTGATTGCAAAATAAAGCCATTTCCAAGTTTAAAGACTCTTGGCTACTTTCACGCTCCCTCCTTCATCTGTGCGTTGAGTCTGGCACGTCTGTAGCCACTGCGTCTGCACACTTCTGGGTTGTACGCCTTTCTCGTAATGTTCTTTTTTTGTACACTTTTATCATACTTTTAATGACAGCTTGATTTCCTGAATGAATGAGATACCAAAATATACTAACCCTTCCCTTTATGATTGGAAAACTAGATTGCTTCCCATTTCCTGGTAATTATAAATGATGTTGCTATAAGGTAGGTATAGTCTTTAAAAAAATCATTTTATTGGGGGCTCATACAACTCTTATCACAATCCATACATTGTGTCCAGCACATTTATATATATGTTGCCCTCATCATTTTCAAAATGTTTTCTTTCTACTTGAGCCCTTGGCATCAGCTCCTCATTTTTCCCCTCCCTCCCCTACCTTCATGAACCCTTGATAATTTATAAATTTTTATTGTTTTTTCAACCCTTACACTCACCAATGTCTCCCTTCACCCACTTTTCTGTTGTCCACCCGCCTGGGAGGGGGTTATATGTAGATCATTTTGATCAGTTCTCCCATTCTCCCCCACCCTCCTCTCACCCTCCTGGTATCGCTACTCTCATTATTGGTACTGAGAGGTTTATCTGTCCTGGATTCCCTGTGCATTGCTCTTATCTGTACCCATGTACATGGTCTGGTCTAGCCGGATTTGTATGGTAGAATTGGGGTCATGATAGTGGAGGGGAGGATACAACAGATAGTGTAAGATATGAAATAACAATAATAATATATAATTGATCAAGGATTCACAAGGGTGGGAGAGCCAGGGAGGGAGGGGAAAAAAGAAGGGCTGATACCAAGGGCTCAAGTAGAAAGAAAATGTTTTGGAAATGTTGATAGCAACATATGTACAAGTGTACTTAATAATATTGAATGATAGAGTGTTATAAGATTTGTAAGAGTCCCCCACAATAAAATGATTAATTAAAAAAAGAATATATATATATATATATATATATATATATATATATTTCCCCCTTAAGTTCTCAGTTTTAAAAATAGTTCTTGGTGAGTTGTTGTTGTTGTTGTTTTTATTTTAAGCCTGCTTATATTTGAGTTTCAAAAAGACTTGGTATGAAAAATACCTCCACTTTTGGGGAAACTTCAATCGTCCTGCAGCCTAAGTTGGTGACAAGGGGCTACACCATGAGTGTGAATGGTATACAGAGGGCAGCCCAGTGAGCGGAAAAGGGCAGTCACTTCGCAACTAAGCAGTTCCCGGGCTCAAATTCCAACTCTAGAGACCCTACAATTTACCAAGGCCGTACATTCTGTCTCCCTCTCCTTCAGGGGTGAAGTGAAGGTTAGCCAGACCCCTGCGCCTGACACTAGGAGCACAGCCTTCCACTGGCTCCCCTTTCTGTTCATTGAATGACGTGTGGGAGCCCTAGTGGCGCAATTGTTACGCACTTGACTGCTAACCAAAAAGTTGGTAGTTCAAACCCAGCCAGAGGCTCCACGTGAGAAAGACTGCGCTGGTAAAGATCACAACCCAACAAACCCTACGGGGCAGTGCCAGTCGACCTGCGGGGTGGCATTGAGGCGGCGCAGGAGAACGCGGGCTTATTTACTAGGCTGTGCCAACAGCCTCCCACGCTTTTCTCTGCAGCAGAGAGGTGATAGGGTAACCCACCTCTGCGAGGGAGGGAAATAGCTCAGAATCAAGGACATCTTGCAGGGAGAAAAATTCTAGGAACTAGTGACAGAGAAGAGATCTCTGGATATTGTTCAAGGTGTGTGGTCCAGGTAGAGCAGCAGAGCAGAGAGGGGGCTGCGAGTAGAATGATTCATTTGAATAGGTAGAGAAGGGGGTGGAATGCCCTGATGTGAATTCTTAACCTCTACAGGCTGAGACAAATAGTCCAGCATTGCTGGGTGCTCCA